TAAACTTTGTAATTCTATAGCAATATAAAGTACTATAAATAAAAATGAAGAAACTATCTATATTAAACCTAATAAGTAATTTCTACTAATAAATCAATTTCAAAAGTAAACATTTTCGTTCAATAGACAAATTCTGCTAAGTTGTATTCCTTGTGAGAGCATTCTGGAAAATTCTGTTTCAAACTTCGCTGTGAAAAGTGTTCTGCTACAAAGAATATTACTTTTCAGATTACAATTTGCAGAATGGACTCCACGATGACCATCATGGCCATGCTTGGGCTGATGGCTCACCTATCCACCGAAACATCCAATGCGATTGCCATCCCAAAGTACCGTTTTGACCTCAACGTCCAAAGCGACAACACTTGCGAGTACCATTTTCGCTTTAAACGTCGTGAAATCATAGACGTCGCTCACCAACTGATGTCCTGCATCAATTATTCTCGTTCATTGTACTCTTCCTCTGTGCCTGATGCACGGAGGGAGTTCAGTTTGTCCTCCTTGAATGCGACGATCAAATCGTCGAACCGCTTACGACAGGAAACAGCAGTCAAAGTGTCGCCGTGTGTGATGCACATGTTTGCAGCAACCTCTTCCCAACGTGTTTTTACAGCTCCATAAGGAGCATCGAACGGCTAAATGTGTATTACCTCTTTTAAGAGGTCGACGTCGGAAGCTGATTTGAACCGGAATACCACCTTTCGATTGGAGCTGTCGTTCATGGCACTACCCGTCACAAGGAAAAAGTTTTCCCTGTGTGCAAATCTCACAGTGAATTTCGTCCATCAATTTTTCCGACAATTCCGCATACATAGTCTCACAATGAATTCTCACTAGGAATTCAACTTAGCAGAATTCGTCTAAAAACATACTTCGTCTGTTTTATATTACTTCCACCATTCAAAAATCGACTTTTTCATGTACTGCCACCATATCAATTTGATTGGACAAGCATACATGAAGCGTGTTTATTGGTTATAATTACAATGCCACAACTCATGGACTCATTGTTTGAAGGAGGCCGTTGGCCTCGAAGAGGAGCGACACTGGGCAGGTCAAATTCACCACGAGGTTTCCAACACGACGCATGGCAACCTTATTCAGATGTGGGAGCTTGAACTGGTTACCACCACTTTGTTCTAAAACCAAGCGCATACAGTGTAACAGCTTGTAGGGTACGAAACACATTCTCCAAGGTATCTACCTCGAGAGTGTCAAATGCCACCATTGTCGACGCAATAACATCATCCACAGAGCGACTAAACATCTTGTACTGTAGGGTCTGGATGGAGGGGAAGAAACCAAGGTCGAGCACGTTTAAGTCGGGGCTGTTGGGCGGTTGCCGGCGAACTCGGAACATCCACTCATGAGTGGGTACTTTGGCAAGAGCTTCGTCGTCGATTGAGCTGTGCGGCGTCGCGTTGTCAAGTTGAAGAAAGACTCACTTGCTGTTTCTTGGAAACTTAGCCTTGATTGCGGGGACGACCTTGTTCAGAACATAATCACGGTACGTTTACGCATCAACATTAGTGGTTTTCGACACCATAGTACCAGCAGGACGATTTCGAGACGCTCGCACAGCAGGGGATTGGTTGACGAAAGGCCAGAGCCCAAACTCTCCATCAAAGCCAAGGCTCTGGCGCGGTCGGGCAACAGCGCACAAAAACATGACTTTGGGCAAGAACTGCTTGGACTTGCACGACCCAGTACCATGAGTCTCACCATCAACAAGGTGCTCCTTGCGACAGTCTTTGTCGGCGTTGAACCATTTTTCGTCAAGAAGCACGAAGTCCCACTTACCGCAAAACAAAGTGTGCCGGCACTGGCGGCACACTTCGCTTCGTCGGTCTCAGAATTGGAGCATTGGAATCATTAGCAGTAAGGTACTCGTTGATGGCGTCAATGGTGAGGTTCACATGTGCTCCACAGAAAGCAAGGCGCTCGCGCTGTTGGCGACGGTGAGCAGAGGTTTGAGTCGGGACGAGCGGGGCTTCACGATATCCGTCTTGAGAGCCCGGCAAAGGGTATTGATTGATATGCCAGTGGCTTGAGCCATGTCTCGCATGGTGCTGCGTTGGTTTCGAGGTACTTCTTTTATTTGTTCAGTTATCTCAGCGGTTGTGTAGCGTATGGGAGATCCAACTCGGCCAATCTTGAGGGATCTGTTGATCCCTTGCTGTACCGACTCCAGATTTTGCGTACTGTGCTCCGGTCAAGCTCAAAGCGCGCGGCGACAGCCTTGACTGTTCCACGCGGCATTTTGCCCATGCATAGGTTCTCGCGCAGCATGACGGCGACCTCACGTTTTGTTTCGTCGGTCAATTCTCGTTGATTTGTGCTCATGGCGGGAAGTTCAAATGTGCCGACAGGGCCCTAATATTTATTTTTTATTGATTTTTGTATTTTTATTCTGGTGGCCCTAACGCAAAGTTAGTTCTGATCACCAAAATTCCTGTTTGGCGCGTCGCTTCCCATGGAAGATTCCTTTACAATTTCATTCTCTTTCTCTTGTGATATTCCGCATTAAATTTGGACAAGAAAATGAATTTTTGGGGTCACTTCAAGTGGTTATGGTGGCAGTATTAAGAAATAGAGGAAGTAATTGGATTGTATTATTAGGAAAGATCAATTGTCTTCTAACAAGACTATGTCTCAATGCACGTGTCAAAGATGACCTTTGCCCATCTGAGCAAACATGGCGTTTCAAGTATGAAGTGACTAGCCAAGAGACGACCTCAACCCAATTGAAAATACCTGGGGTCTGTTGGCGCTGGCCGTGTACGCGAATAGTCGCCTGTTCGACAATGTTGCGGTACTGAAGCAGAAAACTGCGTTGGAGTGGGAAAATATTCTTTGGAATACAGTCGAGAAAGATGTCCATTACACTTAAGTAGAGGACCTTTTAATGTTGCCATGTAGGGATGCAATGAATCGGGTAGAGAGCCTACGAGGCCTTCGACTTGCCCTTTGCGCCGGTGGGCTGATCGCGGCCACGGCGGTGGAGAGCTGGTTGGAGGCGGCAAAGGCGCTGGAGTTGGATGGGGCGTTAGTCGTCCTCACGGTGGAGCGTGTCGTAGATATCCACTTGCTTAGGCCGTCGAACAAGTGGAGGGTCGAACTGTTGAAACAGTGGAGGGAGTAAGCGTGGCATGCGTCACTTTCCTAGGTGATGAGCAGACACACCCCATTATCGTCGGCCGCTGAGATCGCATCATAGACAACATCGTTGGTGGTGCGGTTTGCGAGATTGGTGGTGGCCGAGCCGAGGTCGAGTGGAAGCCCGTGGTTCACAATGAGATGGCGGATAAAGTGGCGAAAGTTGGAGGGGGGGATATCCGAGGTAAGGGCAATGTCTTCCGCCTGCTTGTACGCAAGCATTTCGTCGGCAGTGAACGCAAAGGGCGGCCCAAGAAGGTCGCTAGTTTGCTCTAAGGCGGCACGTGTTATCGGCGTTTGCGCCGATCATGAGCCATGTGCGGTCGGTGCGGCCCCACTTCATGAAGTCGCCAGTGCGTTTTTCGGCAGGTAGTACCAGGACCAGGTATTTGTCCAGCAGGGCTTTGGCGGCATCCAGCGAGGAGCGTTCGATGTAGCCTTCGAATATTCACTCGCGGTTGGCGAATGTGTCATAGGGGTGGAGCCATTGGACCAGGTACCACGTTTCGTCGGGTTGGTCGGGGTTGGCTTGCTTGTCCAGAAGGCCGTCAATGTGTTGCAGCGTAGGATTCGCTGCTACAGCGCTGTACTTCGGCGCCCGTGTCGGTGGTACGTGAACGGCGGTCGCCAGTTGTTTGGAGTACTGTCGAGCATTGATCGACAGCATGCCAACTCGAATGACACAAGTAATTTTGAAACGTGGTACCACAATTGACTATTAGGCCAAATCTATTTAGTTCGGCTATCAATGTGTTCCAGTCAAATCACTTAAGTTTTTGAATTCTAGTAAAACCGTTTTGAATCATGGGGAGGCATTCCAAGGTCTCGTCAACGACATGATTCGTAGACATTGGTTTGAGTTCGATCACCTCAGCCGACGTCTTGTGTCTCTCCAAGATGAAGATGTTGGTGCGGCTATAGTTGTTCCAGACTGTGTCGGCAACGATATCACGCATCGTTCTGGGTAATCCGTTGATTTCTAGGTCGTGTTGAATCCGGATGAAGCTGGAAAGAGCCTTCGGAGGCAAGTCGGAGTAGGTTGTGCATACTCAATTTGGGACGTGGGCAACTCAGCGAGATTGTGCCGTAGATCTCTGGTGCTCTAAGGTAACCAAGTGCGGTGATCTTACAGTGCTCGAGCTCTTCGCATATTTATAATACTTCCCGATATTTGCAACATTTGCAAATCATACTTTTTCCATATTACTTGTGACATTTCCATCCGATTGGTCAACAAACGAGAAAACTACGTGTAATTGGTTAAAAACCTGAATGGCCACTTAGCCAAGTAGTGAAGCAGGGCACGAGACATTGGACATCAGCGCCCTGGCACGACGCAAGGCATCCTTCCGCAAATGCGATAGTGGTTGCCACCATTGTTCTCCAGAACTAGGCGCATGACTGTTTGCAACGTGAGGAACATGTTTGCAAGTGCATCGCCACCACAAAGTTCATACGCAGCGTAGGTTGCATGAATACCTCACCCAAAGATCGACTAACCAACTTGTACTGAAGAGTTTGGATCGAAGCAAAGAAACCCAGATCCAAGACAAAGAGATCTGGGCTGTTTGGTGGCTGGCACCGCACAACAAAGGTCCACCGGTCCGTGGACACGCTCGCAAAGTCAGCGTCGATAAGGCTACCATGGGGTGTTGCATTGTCATGCTGGAGTACAACGCGCTTGTTCGCTGTAGGGAACTTCAACTTGATGGCTGGAATGACTCGAGTGATGACATACTTGCGGTAGACAGCGGCGTCCAGGTTCACCAAGGTTGGGACGAGCGATCCCGCCGGCCGGTTGCCCGAGCTGCGCACAGCAGGTAGGAACTCAACCCAAAGACCATATTCGATCTTTCCATCGAAGTTGACGTCACTCTCTGGATCATGTCGAGGACGCGCCACCGCCGCGAGGAACGTGACTGTGGGAATGAACCGCTTGCTGGACCACGCACGTTGTTCAGGCTCTTCCCTGGCGGTAAGGTACACCTTGCGTACGTGCTTGTCCGCATTGAACCACTTTCATCAAGGTGCACAACATCCCACATGTCGTCGAAAACCAGGGTTTCGGGAAGACCGGAGGGACGAACGTGCGAGCGGCAAAATACGACACGTTGCTCCTTGTTCGTGTCGGATAGCAAGGGCTTGATGCGTGTCGATCGGCGTTGAAGCGTCCCGGCTGTCAAGGCGCGGTGGAGCGAGCCGAGCGGGATGCCTGTGGCTTCGGACATGTCACTCATCGTGGAGCGAAGCGACTGCGTCAGCTCGCGAACAGTGCTGGCGATAGCTTCTGGTGTGTACACCGGCGGGCGACCGGACCGGCGAGCTTTTATCGAAGGCAGCAGTGCGTTTTGTTGAAATGCCTTCCAGATACGAACGACGGTTGTACGGTGGACCTGGAGTTCGCAGGCCGTTGAGGCGATTGCTCAGTGAGGAAGCTTGCCCATGCTCGATTGGGAGGTGACGGATCACCTCCATCTTCTTTGCGTGCGAGATCTCTCTGCCGGTGCGTGCCGTGCAATGGATGTCGACTTGTTCAGGTCCCGGAAATTTTAATCCTGTTAATTCACATTTCGTAATTTTATTCGGAGACCCGATGGCGAAGTGAAAATTGGGCGCCAAAATTTGCTTTTCGCGCCTTGCAGTCAATAGACCTTTCCTCTAGATGTTGATTCTCAATTGAACATGATATGATTCATCGAATTTGGACTAGAATTCAATTTTTGGGGGCACCTCGAAGCCAAATGTCGGCAGTAAAATGGAACAGAGGAAGCACTTCCTCTGTCCCATATTACTCGTCGATTTGACTTCTCAACGACCCCACAAATCCATTTCATTACCAAACTTGATGAAAGTTATTCTTCAATGAAGAGCATAAAAATCCAATGGAACCAACCATTCATTGGCTGTCAAGAGCGTAACTTGAATTTTGGCGCTCAAAATCAATTTCTCATTTTTACCACCCGAATAAAAACACACCACATATAAAGATCAACACACATTTGAATTTGCCGCCATGCCCCAATCCTTACGCGAGGTTTCCTGCGCCAATCGACACGAGGTGGTCCGACACCTACACCAGTTCCTTAAAGCTGGATGGCTGATTCACGGCGCTTTCGCCAAAACTGCTAAAGAACTTGACGTCAGTGCACGCGTGGTTTCCGCCTCCTGGCGAAACTTTTGCAAGAGCGGAACTGTCGAGTCCAACAAGACAGGCAGAGTTGGTCCTAGAAAGCGCTACATGGTTAAAGACAAAGCCGTGTCTCGCTTCTCCTGTATGCGAGGGCATTAATAACCAATGAAAGTGCTGAGAATTTTTGTAAGCCAGTCAAATGCGTTTGTGTTTCAGTAGTATGGAACAAGTGTGTTTTTCAAATCGACGAGTAATATGGGACAGAGGAAGTATTGTTTAAGTACTACGTAGTATTAAATAAACAATTTTCTTGAAATTCTTAAATAACAAAAGATTTAAAGTTGAGTTGATATAAAACAAAAGCAAAACTAAACCAAACATTGACATAAGATTTATCAACTTTTTAGTATATAACAATTTACCAAATTTTTATTGGTATACATAAATATAACTGAAAATCCCATAAAATTTTATAAAGCATCTTGTTAATTATGAAAGGGTAATAATATTATACACAGAAGATTCATATATTCCATTAGACAGTGTAGTGAAAATAGTATTGTTAGAATTTTACCTAAAACTAATGCGAAGTTTTATTTAGAATTCTTGTAGATCAATATATTTGATTGCTTTTTTAATAGTATACGTATAATATCAAAGAATACAAAAACGTTTATTGAAAAAAGAATGATGATTTTTTATAGAAATCTTTTGCGAAGATGCTTTTAAAAAAGATAAATAATGAATATTTAAGTTGTAGGTTCAAGTCCTACAAAGTCCATTTTCTAATAGAAAAACTATACCTATGCTAACAAATACATACGCAAAATACCTAACAACAAAAATTTTGATAATTATCACATGTATTTTTAATGTTAATGTTTTATTGAATTGAGTATTTGTATTAAAATGGTAGATTATTTAATTAGATTTATTATCTTTTCGAATTGAATTCATTTTTGAATATCATCATACTACCTCTGTCCCAGAATGATCTATGCATTCCAACTCTCGAATTGTCCCAAAATGATCTATGCATTTTGATTACACCTCGTACACATCAACATCATCAGGAACACCAAGGCCGTTGAACAATGCGCAAGGATCATCCACAGCGGCTTCGTCGTGGATGCGATCGTACATCGCTTCAAGCACTTCTTCAGCTGCCATGGCGGACGAAATAGAGACGTACTGTGAATCCCCAAAGGTGCCGTTTGCACGAGCACGATCCTTTCCACAATGAGGCAACTTGTAATTGTTGCCTCCATTGTCGTCAATGATCGCACGCATCACACATCGTAGAGTAACAAAATTGTTCTCCAGAGTTTCAAATCGAAGCTCATTAAATGATGCTTCCACAGCCGCAATTAGCTCATCCAGGTTCGATGCAGCCTTTTGGTACTGCAAAGTTTGGATAGCATTGAAGTACCCCAAATCGAGCACATTCAGATCGGGGCTCGATGGTGGTTGATTTATCATTCGAATCTGCCAACCATCTCTATGCCCAGCCGCAAATACATCTGCATCGTTCAACAGTGTATGTGGTCGAGCATTATCTTGCTGAATTCGAATCTCCTTACTATATGATGTTGGCCATACTGCCATGATAGCAGGAATGACTTTATCAATTATAGTTTGGCGATAGACATCCCGAGTAACAACTTTTGGTTGTGTTACTGGGGCCCCTGCAGGTCGGTTTTTACTCGTACGAGCTGCTGGGACAGTCTCGACAAAAGGCCAAACGCCAATTTTGCCGTCGAATTTTTCCCCTGCCAACGCATTTGCGCGTGGCTCTGCCACTGCTGCTAGAAACATAGCCTTTGGAATAAACCTCTTGTTTTGTGTTGTACGAAGTGGACCAGTTTCATCAGGGAGAAGATACATTTTTTGGTTAACCTTAGCTAGGTAAAACCACTTCTCGTTGATGTGAACAACATCGGACATGGTCGCAAACTTGTACGCAGCAATCGTCTCATCGTGCACCAAAAAATTGGTCACAAACGAGAGTCGGGCAGCTTGTTTCTCCTTGGAGAGGTGTGGTTTCAAACGGTTGGAAGTCGGACAGAGCAGTTTTTTTGCTTTGAGCCTTGACAGGGTCGAGCGCGAAACACCAGAGTGGGCAGAAAGTGTTCGGAGGTTCTGGCGGAGACGGAAAGGCACGGAACGTATCTTGCCTAGTACGTCTTCGATGGGTGCTTGGCGACGACCCGATTTGGACTTTATGTGGCTCTTGATCGCGTCCAGCGCCCTTCCTTGATGCTGGTTTTCTTGGAACCTCTTCCACACCGAGGCAATGGTTAGGCGGCTTCGACCAAATATCGCTGCGGCTTCGTTGATTGCTCAGTGCTCCAGCTTGCCGTTCTTGGTCCTTGCGGCGAGGTCGAGGCAAATGGACAGACGCTCATCGTCAGTAAGTTCTTCATGATC